AAAGAATGATCAAAATGTATTAACCAACGATTTACAGCAGAAATAAGAAATTCAAATGAGTAATAAACATGAAAAAAATTTCAGCCCACTAATAGCTAAAAAAAATATGTACCATTTTTTACCCATCAGATCACTAAAAATTTTAGACAAGTGATTAGAAGTCTCTTTAGGAGAAATGGAGATGTAAGCAATTGTACAGAGTACTGCTGGGAATATGTACATTGTTATTAGTCCTTCTGAAAAGCATGTTGATGAGATCTGTCTAGCTCCTGGCAATTTGTCCTAATGAAATCATCAATGATATGGAATAAAAGATGTACAGGGATGTTTATTGCAGTCTTATTGAAACAAGAGACAAATTATAAACAGCTTAAATGGTACAAAGAAAATTTGCTTTAAACAAAACTGCATAATTAAATCATAAATTATAAAATCATTGTAAATTATTTCTACTGGAAAATATTAGATAAGGAGCATCTTCTCTTGTCTTCTTGTGACAGATAAGGGAGTGATCTACAGCTGTAATTCTACTGTAAGTCACCTCTCTATTGTAATAAGGGAGATGTGCTGTTCCTTTAAAAATACAGATCTCTAGAGCTATGGGTAAGCTCTCTGGAAAAAGCCTGTCCATAAACAATGTTGAGCCAGTTATAAATTACAAAAATGTGAAATATAAGTAAAACTATATTTTGTGTAAAACTGGTTCCTTACTCCAAATTCCTTGTTAATGTCCCTTTCCCTTCCTTTTTTAAAAGCCAGCTCTTGCTAACACTTTTGTTCTGTTAATGAACTAGAATTAAATTGGTTCTAAGTTATTTATTCACACTTATCTAAAAGAACCCTCTGCTTACTTTCAATTGAAGCTCACATTTTGGGTACCCCCTTTAATAAGAGAAGCGAGTAATACCCGAAGGCTAGAAAATATTAGCTTCTTCCTGACACAGTTTACTCTCCTTTAAGCGTAGACTTGACTAAGGTGTGCTGACACAGCCCTCGTGCGTTCACTGGAGCTTGGAAATGGCGGTCACTGAGCTGCGTGCGGCAGCATGCCAGGTGCAAGGTCACCTCTGACTGCCCGCAGAGGACAGATTCCAGGAAGACAGCAGGGTGTTGTGTTCTGTTCTGTTTTGGTCTGAGAAATAATAAAAAATCAGTACTTCTGATTTCATACTTCGGTCATATCCTTCGTTCTGGATATTTTATTGGTGGTTCTGGGTTGAAAATTTTTTTCTTATTGTGTGTGTATGCATGTATGTGTGTGTACATATTTATATGTATATAATTATATTGTATCATATATGTATGTATGAATGTGCACACGTGTGTGCATACGCGCGTTTACATGTATAGAGTTATATTGCACGTATATATGTATGTATGAATGTGTGCATGTGTGTGCATATGTGCATTTATATGTAGAGTTATATGGCATGTATATATGTATGTATGAATGCACGTGTGTGCGTGCGTGCGTGTGTGCGCTTGCATGTGTGTGTGTGCACGTGTTTACGTGCATGTTCATGTGTAGGTGTGCGTGCGTGTGTGCGTGCGCGTGTGCATGTACGTGTGTGCGTTTGTGCGTGTGTGCGTGCATGTGTGTCTGCGTGTGTGCGTCTGTTTATGGAGCATGTAAGTGTAGATATGGAGCAGGGGAGTAAAGGGTAGGATCACCATAAGTAAAGACAGAAGGGAGGGACACTATTTAAATTTAGATACAGTAACAGAATAACATACATCTTAGAAAGACTGTTAATATTTACTAAATGTATCTGTTGGTTTTTTTTAAAACACCTTACTCCTTTAATAAGGTACTTTTAGAGATTTTTAATATTTAACATTTTTGAATCTGGATTTAATTTTAATATTTTGTCTCGTTTATAGCTTTAGCCAATTAAAAACTTAATAAACCTCTCAATTTACTTTTCCCTTTTTTGCTAGACTCTGCGCTGTGAGAATATAGGGAAGGATCAGACACTGTTCCCGCCTTCAAGGTCCCTTCAGTTCCTTGGAGACGTAACCAAACACTAACAGACAGCTCGTGTATTAGGCACTTAACAATGCTTTACGTGAATTGCTCAATTCTTAACTACGCAGCGAGGTAGATACTGTTACTATCTGCGTCTTAAAGATGAGAAAATGAGCCTTAGAGAAGTTTTAAATAACTTCCCAAGGTCATACAGCTGGTCAGTAAGCAGCAGAACCTGGCTGTCGATTCAGACCTGTCTAACTCTCCTTGGCATTTTAACACTAAATGATGCTTTGACCCCAGCAGAATTAGAACGGCTGCCTGACTGAGGTTTTCCCTTTGTTTTGTAAAACGAGGCTTTGGGGTCAGGGTATTGAAGGCCCATAACCTGTGTGGTTGGCAGTGGAGACGTGGGGGGCTGTACCGCAGAGGCGAGTGCGGTGATGGGTGACTGGCTGTGTGCGGGCAGAGGGAGGTGAGAAGCAGTCTGGACGATCTTGGGTTCCTTCCAGCTGAGACTGTCCTGTACGCAGGGTTTTGTCCTTCTGTCTGCCTCTTAGAATCTTAACTCTTGGTGTGAAAATACTAAATGTGTCGTTCTTTCTAGAAATTTACATTTAGAAGATGAAACAGCATTGACAGTAGGGTTTTTGTTACTGCTGTTTTTAATCACTGAAATTCAGTGAGCATTTATCAAGCACCCACTGTATACACACCAAGCACGTCATCAAGCCGTCTAATGGAACACGGTCGCCATCTCTGGCGTCCACAGAAACATGCTTTAAAATCTGATGGCCTTCTTTCTTTTCCCTAGTATCTCTTTATCGTCGTTTATGATGAGGGTAAAAATTTAAGGTAATTGTAAAGACTCCATTAGGTAAACACATTCACTGGAATTCAGGATTTAGCTGTGATTTGCTGATTAGAAACTTTTCAGTTTTCGACTTTATTTGCTTTGGATGAAGTGTTTCTGCCCTGGTTCCATCCATCCCGTGCCAGAATTTTGTAGTGACTTGAGAAAACCCTCCCTCCATACAAGGGATAATTATGAAAGAATGTATAATTCTACCTGCTTACCCTCTAATTGTTTCCCAGGAGGCAAGAACCGTGGGAACCTGAAATTAGAACACTGTGAAATACCTGAGTAGGGAAATCGTTTAACAGTGCATGTGGAATTGGTGCTAAATCAGAAACCATTTATACTGGATTCTGATGTGCACCAGCAGTCATGGGCGACAGGATTGGAGGGTGATGATGGGATACCCGGAATATCTGATTTTGCCAGATAGGAAGAGACCATTGTCTGCAGTAGAGCACCAGAGCACTTGTGAGAATCTCTGCTACTTCTGGTGTGTGATTCTAAGGAGTCTGCCATATAAAGGATCCTTTTTCTGGGTTCTGATGAATCTTTCCCAATATCCTTGCAAACAAGAACAAAGGATAATACACAAGTGTTCCTCCGACCCTTTGCATAGAAGTTGGATTCTCTCTGCATGTGGGATGTTAGAGTTCACCATCTTTTCCCTGTCCCAGGACCAGGCTGGCACACAGCCCTTTTGTTTCACTTACATCTCATCTCTTTTTGTAAAGTACCCACGTGTTTTATTACTTGTTCCATTTGCTTTTTCCCTTACATTTGGCCTTTGTTAAGAGAGCTTTAGACAGATACCGTCCTTGTTTCAAATTATTTTTATACCTTTTCCCTCAAATAATCCAAATACCTCCTTAGTATTAGAATGATTCTTGGTGGGCTGTAGAAATATATTATCAGATGCTTTTAATACTCCATTCTTAACTTCTTGATTGATTTTATTAAACTGTGAATCCATAGGGTGAGGTATATAACTCTATATTTAGTCATTCATAATTGTTATATAAGGTTGCCTTTATTTGAAGTCCTACTAATTTCTTAAATCTAATGATAATATTCATTTCCTTTATATTGCCTAAAATTCACACAAGTCTGTTGTTACAATCTTGCATTTTGTTACAAAATACTTCTACTTAAAAAAAAATTTTCTACGTAATCAAATTTGTCCAGTATAATAAATTTTTAAAGAGAATATATTTTTATACATTTTAAATATATTTGCATTTTTTTGTGCTATGGAGCTGATACGCCATTTTTAATAAGCAGACTGTTTACTCTCCCCTTGAAGTCTGGATTTTGAGAGAGTATAAAGATTGGATAGGGTGAGAGTTGATTACGCATCTCATTGAATTCTTAAATGGTTTGTATGAGAACCATCACTATTTTAGGAAGTAAATTAGAAAGAAAGAAAGAAAGAATGACGCAGTGGCATGAACAACAAACAGAATGAAATGGGAGTTGAATAAGAAAAGAAACTTGAGCCTAAATTTTTTAAGCCTGCAGGTTAAATGATAGCAGTGTTCTGAAGAAGGCTTTTTAAGCAGACATGACATTCAGGTATTCTTCAAAAATGATTCTATTAAAAGAGCGTATGACCTGTTGATAAGAGCACACAATCAAGACTATTAAACTTATTTCCTAATTTAATCGTGATCCACGTGCAGGCATGGTTGATACTACACCCTCCCGAATTCAGGTTTCTTTTTCTTTAAGAAGAGATGCTGTGTGCACCACAGGTTATGCTTAGAAGGTGATAGAAAATATTCTAGCATTTATGAGTAAGAGATTTTGAGATTTGTATTTAAAATATTTTCACAGTATGTTTAACTTTTTCTTGTCAAGTGTGTTGATAGTCTGTGATAAATTATCTTTATGCTTCCTGACTTCCTTATTTTCATTTCTTAGATTCTTATTTTATTCGTTGGTTTCTGAAAAGAGCTTTTATTAGAATGAAATAAGATTTACGTATATTATCATAAACTACATAAATTAAACGTTAGGTAATTCTCTTATAAAGTACTGTTTTAGTGGAATTGCATAGTATCCGTTTCTTCCCCCCCGTACTGAATGCACTTGTTAACACTGTTACGGTAAATAAAATCCTGTCCAACTTCAAGGGTTTTTTATTTTATTTTTTGGATTTTTTTTTTTTTATATTTGCAGTTGGTTTTAGAAGAAGTTTCCGTCTCAGTAGAAAAGATAAGAAGACAAATAAATCCATGTATGAATGCAGGAAGAGCGATCAGTACGATACAGCTGACGTCCCCACGTATGAAGAGGTGACCCCGTACCGGCGACAGACCCATGAGAAATACAGACTTGTTGTTCTGGTTGGTAAGTGCCTCCGTGTCTAATTCTGAGGAGGTAAGTGAAGTAGTAACAGTAAAACTGCAGAGTGCCTTATCCTTGACGTTTTCTAGCTGAAAAATCCTTTTATTCTGAACACGTTTCGGTGTCGGAAGCCCTTCGTCTGTTTTGCTTGCATGACATTTAAGTCATCTTCGAATGAGAGCAACGGTTGAGCGTCACCTTGGTAGGCGAGGAGATAGCAGCCGTCACTGCCGTATACTGAGCCTGTCAGGGCAGCTGAGAAATAGAATGGGATAATTCTGGATACAGCGGGAGTTTCTTTCCATTTGGAATTTTGGGAGAGAAGCCATGGTGTCAGTCTCCTGTGGTATTTAGACCTGCAACGAAATAAAGTGTCGTCTCAGAGCTGTAGGATAGTGACGTGTTTAAAGCTGGTGAGGCAGTTAGCAAAACCGCTGAAAAAGTGGATAAATGCATGCAGGTATTTTCACAAACGTTGGTTGATTTGATCCCCACTGACATTCTAGCATCCATCGAATCCGGACTTCACCAGCAGGAGCACCCACCACCTCAGCATTTCTCCACCCTGCCCTCACCTGTGATTCTTTAGAAATGTGTTGACAGGTATCTCAGCTCCCAGGAGTAAAACCACTGACTTATCAATGGTTTAGAGTAAAGGAGCGTCGTGTATCTTCTTAATTGTTCCTTTTAAACTGAAGGTGACAATTATGGAGATGAGAATAAATGGTAAAGCCAAAGAATCACCCCTTCTTTTGAGATGGACTCCTTTGAAAGGCCACCTACATCTTTTCTTAATTCAAACAGATGGTGGGAAACCAGATCATTTCTTACATAGAATGACATTGGAAGTGATCATTAGAATCATAAGATATTAAAATTGTTTGCATTATTTAGGAATATATATTCCCATACAGGCAGTCCCTGGATTACCAAAGTCCGAGTTGTATTAAAAATTTGGGGTGCATACAATGGTTCTTAATAACAAATGGGCGCTACTTTGCCGTGCGCATCAAAACATTATTATTATTACTATATTGTGTTACAGATGGTTTAGTGTATCTGGAAGTGATTCCTTAATGTTTTTTATGCATAGAAAGGTACACTGTGTACTAAGACAGACATTTGACTAACAGATGTTAGAAACTATCCGTACCTAACATTCCAACTTATGTACAAATTCGACATAAAGACAGATTTAGGAACTGAACTCATTTGTAATCTGGGGACTGCCCGTACTTCAGAATTTCCCTTATTAAAAGCGTCTGCTTCTCCTAATCCGTGTATACGGAACCCCCCCTCCGTCAACCACACGTGAAAGAATATTTTCCATAGGTTTTTCTGTGTTTGCTATAGAGCTTATAATACCCCACCCTCCGGTTCTTGTAGAGTTGGGCTACATGAGGGTACAGGTGGTCCCAGGTAAATCTTTTGTCCCTCCTTGGGGTTACCTGAGACCTCCTGGTTCCTAGTCTGCCTCCTCCCTCAGCAGCACCCACCCCACCAGCACCCACCCCACCAGCACCTGTCTGAGCACCCGTCCCACCAGCACCCATCCCACCCGCACCCGTCTGAGCACCCGTCCCACCAGCACCCATCCCACCAGCACCCGTCTGAGCACCCGTCCCACCAGCACCCATCCCACCAGCACCCATCTGAGCACCTGTCCCACTGGCACCCGTCCCACCGGCAGCCATCCCACTGGTACCCGTCTCAGCACCCGTCCTACCTGCACCCATGTCAGCACCCATCCCACCAGCACCCGTCTCAGCACACATCCCACCAGCACCCGCCCTACCAGCACCCGTCTCAGCACCTGTCCCACCGGCACCCGTCCCAGTACCCGCCCCACCAGCACCCACCCCATCAGCGGCCATCCCAGCACCCACCCCACCAGCGCCCATCCCAGTACCTGCCCCACCAGCACCCGTCCCACCGGCACCCACCCCACAAGTGCCCATCTCAGCACCCATCCCATCAGCACCCGTCTCAGCAGCGTCTCTTCCATCCCCATTGCATCTTCTCAGCCAAGGTCTGCGCTTTACCTGAGGAGAGAGATGTGTTATGATAAAAGGGCAAAGATAGTTTGATGTCTTTTTCCCCATTAAATCTAGATGACTCTCCCTCTAGCCAAGGAGCTATTATGTAACTCTCATTCCCATCGCCTTTGAGTCTTATTCCGACCACAGCGACCCTTGGGGATCCGACTGAAAGAAGAAAGTGGAATAAACTTTATCACTTTTCTTTCCTGTAAGTGCTAGTAATAAAAACCCTTCCCTCAGGGGCGAGAATGGGAAGACAGATGGATAAGCTTATCTCTAAATAGTCTGAATGGTAATCCAGGGAAAAATAAAAGTCAATCGTAGAAGCAACTGAAGGTGGTTGATGGTTATAGAAAAGAAACAGCCAATCACTAGAATCTTTCACAGGAAAAAGGAGAGGGAACAGTTGGCCTCGTGTTAGAAGTCATTATGGAGTTCTGTTAAACGCTGATACAGTACAACCTGCGTAAGGTGGAAACCTGTCAGAGAAGGGAAACACATATTTTCCACTAAAATGAGCAATAGAAAAGTAAGATTGCACCCTCTCAAAGGTTGAAAACTTGTGAGACCTGGAAAAGCCAGGCAGTCCGGTCGCGTTCCGGCTCTCACAGGTTGCACTGTGTGTGCGTGTTCGTCATCCCTCCCTACAGCTCCCTCAGTGAAGACGCAGACGAGGAGGGTGGTGCCCAAGGAAAACATAGCCGTTACTGGTTTGTCATAGGTGCAGAATGCCCAGCACGTCTGTGCAAACACAGGATAGAACGCAAGGGGTCCTCTCTTCCCCTCAGTCCAAACCCCATCGCACTACGAGAAGAGACAAGACGAAAAAAACGTGCCTGCGTCCTTACAAGACCTTTGACATACAAGGGTTTTGCAAATAGGTTTCTCCTAGGTTTGTCTTTTGTTTCTCTTGACAGTTTTTAATGAAGTCACACTTACCGTTTTTTTTCTTGTATGTATTGTGTTTCCGTGGTGGTGCTTTAAAGGGTTCATATTTAAGTCTGTGATCTATTTTGAGTTAATTTTTTGTAAGGCTCAAGGTATGGGTCAATGTTTAATCTTGCATATAGATGTCCAGTGTGTTGAAAAGGCTATCAAATGGGATTTTTATTGGAATGTGGTAGGGCACAATAGATCAGTTGGGAATAATTAATATTTTAACAATATTGTTTCTTCCCACCCATAAACATAGTATACCTCTCCATTTATGAGGACTTCTCTGATTTTTTCCTGTCAGTGATTCGTAATGTTCATAATAAAGATCCCTCGCATATTTTGTTAGATTTATGTCTAAGCATTTAATGTTTTCTGGTGCTGTTGTAAATGGCATTGCTTAAAAATTCGGTTTCTAATTGTTCATTGTTAGTGTAGAGAAATGTACTTGATTTTTTTGCATTTGACCTTTTATTGTGCAATGTTGCTAAATTTACTTAGCACTGGTAACTTTTGTGTAGATTTCCTTGAAATTTTCTACATAACTATGTCATCTGTGAATAGAGATAGTTTTCTTTCTTTCAAATCTGTAGGAATTTTCTTTTTAATTCTTGCCTTATGGTACTTGTTAAAATCTCCAGTATCATGTTGAATGGGAGTGTTGAGAGCAGACATCTTTGCTTTGTTTACAAATCTAGGAAGAAAGTATTCAGTCTTTCACCATTAAGTATGGTATTAACTGTAGGCTTTCTGTAGATGCCCTTTGTTAGGTTAAGGAACTTTCCTTTCATCCCTAGCTTGCTAAGAGTATCATGAATTGATGTTGGATTTTTTAAAACGATTTTTGTATGTATCTTTCAAGATGATTATATGGATTTTCGTTTTTGGTTTGTTTAAATGGTGAATTACATTGATTTTTAAATGTTGAATGAACCTTGTACTCCTGGATAAATCCCACTATATCATGAAGTATTCGCCTTTTTATAGAGCTAGATTTGATTTGCTTATTTTTTGAGAATTTTTGTATTTGTGATCATGAGGCATATTGGTCTGTAGTTTTCATGTAATGTTTTTGTCTGCTTTTAGTATCAGGCTAATGGTGTCCTCATAAAATGGGTTGGAAAGTGTTCTTTCCTCTTCAATTTTTATGGGACAATTTGTATAGAACTATTTGCCTTTTAAATGTTTGGTAGAATTCCCCAGTGAAACCTCACCTGAACTTGGGAATCTTCTTTTCTGGGAGATTTTTAGTGACAAATATAATTTCTTTTAAAAAAAGCAACAAAATAAAACCCCATAAGTATATAGAGAATTATCAAGTTATTTGGCAGTTTGTATAATAGAGGAATTTGTCCATTTCACCTAAGTTGCCAATTTCAAAAGCATAAAGTTATTTGTAATATTTCCTTATTATCATTTAACTGTCTGTAGGGTCTTTAGTGATGTCCCCACTTCCATTCATTATACTGGTGATTTGTGTCTTCATGTTTATATTAGCTTCCTATTGTTGCATTAACAGTTTACCACAAACTTAGTGGATTTAAAACAACACACATTTTTTACTTTGCTGTTTCTTTGTGTCAGAGTTTGGGCATAGCTTCGCTGAATCCTCTGCTTCAGGGCCATGATCATAAGGCTGCAGTCCAGCCTTGGACAAAGGTGAAGATGTATCTCATCTAGGATCTTCACTAGACTGGTAAAGGATCCATTTCTAAGCTTGTGTGGTTGTTCTCAGAATTTAGTTCCTTGTGGGTTGTTGAACTGAGGGCCTTAGATCCCAGCTGGCTACTGGCCAGAGGTTGCCCTGGGTTCTTTGTCATATAGGAAATTGCCAGCTAGTCCTTTATCATAGTTTCTGTTTCTCTGCTGAGGACTTAATTTTTCCATTCATCTCAAGTGTATTTACCTTTACCTCATGGAGCTTAGTTTAAAAAAACTGCTTTATGGTTTTGGGCAATTCTACCGTCAAAGTCATCTTGGGTTTGGCATCTGTTGCTTGTATTTTTCCTTCAGAGTTGGTCACCTTTATCT